AGGCATTATAGGTTTTTACCATTATTTGTTTGCTCAGATTTTGCAAAATCTGTCTGTGCTGGTCATTTGGAGCAACAAACAGATGAAGACCTCATGGCTTAATTCAGCCACATGGCTTCCATTAGGAGGGATGAGACCCAAGTGAGATTTTAACAAGTGGCTCTCATGCTTCATATGTATTTATCTTCATAGTACAACTGCGGCATCATTATATGAGACCACTGCTGAAAGTGAAATTCACATAATAAAGCCATTGAGATCTTAATTCCAATACTCAGCTCACACACAAATGAAACAAAATGATCTACAAATTGAAATTTGAATATAAAACTGAATTCCCTTTTGCTTTTTTTGACCCTCTGTTTGCCACAAAAGAGGAACAGATACTATACATCATCAGCACAAAGTATAAGAAAGGGAAGGGAATCAAATTTGCTAAAAAGCTGAAATCTTCCTTCCAGAGGATTGGATAGATATGAAGCACGTTACTCAATGCAACAATTTCTGAGGGATCACAGTCTTAGTATTTGTGCTGTGTATTCTGATGAATCTTGTTGGGAATGTACCTTATCTTCTCTTGCCTCTGTGACTGGTTCCCAGCTGGAGTGACTTGCCTCCTCCTTTATGCTACCTGTTTCTCCCACGCCACAAATCTGAGTGGGAAATCCTCCTTGGAACCCTGGGATATAACTTAATGCCCTCTATTTTCCCCCAAGCAACAACAGACCACAGATATGTGCACATTTCTGTCATATCTTCCTGCACATGAGTCCTAACTTCATTGTTGGTTACCCTTCCTTTTTTTTTTTTTTGAAATAAATTTTATTATGTATAGTCAGGGTTTATGTCATGGCATTACAGGGTATGTGGAGAAGGTGAAATGGTTACTGTATAAAGCCAGATAATATATCTGTCCTAGTTATTTTTTGTGATAAGAGCCTTATTTGTGATAACAGCAGATAAAATCAAATCCTTAATACATTATAATTTTCTTACCTATATATTGTATATTAGATTTCTAAACTTGCTTACCCTACATATCTGGTAGTTTGTATCCTTTGAGCTACATCTTCCCATTTCTCCCCATTTCTTTTCCACCCTCAACCCTGTTTGTGAAAATTACTGTTTCATTCTTTGTCTCCAGGATCTTTTCTTTTCCCTAGATTCCACTTCCACTTGTGAGATACTGCGATGTCTTTCTGTGCTTGGCTTATATCACTTCATATAGTGTCCTCCAGGTCCATCCATATGGCAAAGAGCAAACTTTCTTTCTTTTTAAAGGTGGAATAATATTGCATTTCATTCATCTGTTGATGGACATTTTGTTTGTTTCTGATCTTTTCTTTGGATAATGCTGCAATGGGTGCAGGATATCTTTCTGAAGGATAATTTTGTCTCCTTAGTGGGTATACTCAGAGGAGGAATTGCTGTGTCATTTGGCAGCTCTATGTTTAATTTCTTTCAGACATCTCTCCTGTTTTCCGTAATGGCTGTACCAGCCTACAGTCCCACCGACAACATACAGGTTTGGTTTTCTCCACGCCCTCTCTAACGCCCCTACCCCTTTGGTTCTAGCCATCTTTACATGTATGAGGTGATATCATATAGTGGTTTTAATTTGCATTTCCTCAACAATGCATGAGGAACACCTGTTCATACACGTACTGGCCATTTTTTGTCTTCTTTGGGGAAATGTCTGATCAAGGCCTTTGCCCCATTTTTAAATTGGGTTATTAGTTTTCCTGCTGTTGAGTTGTAAATGTTCTTTATAAATTTTGACTATTAACTCCTTATCAGATGTGTGGCTTGAACATATTTTTTCCCAATCCATAGGTGGCCTTTTCATTTTGTTGATTGTTTTCTTTGCTGTGCAGAGCTTTTAGATTTGATGAAGTCTCAATTTATTAATTTTGGCCTTTGTAGTTTGACCTTGGTTGCTTTCTTCTTAAGCATCTTTTCTGAAAGCAAGTCTGGCTTTCTGTCCACTTTGATATCCCAAAAACCTAGCAGTGTTAGGTAAGTAGAAGTAAAAATCACTACTCCTACTTCTACTGTGTCTCCCCCTCTTGCTGGTAGTACCAGCACGAGTACTGTTTTGTTTGTTTATTTGCTTGTTTTTTTGGTTTTGGTGTTGGGGATCAAACTGAGCTAAATCCGCGGCTCCTCAAGGGCTGGTTTTGATGCTGCTGCTAGTGACCAGTATAACTGGGGAGCTAGTTTTCAGTCCCTTTCAGGCAGGAGGAATTTGCAGGCACACTTTCCCATTGTGGTCCCTTTGTCGCCACCCTCTATAGCTGAGCATGAGACACGGAAGATGGGGAGGCCTTCTGGGTGGAGGAAAGCGTTTGAAGATGTAGGATAGAAAAGCCTGTGTTGTGAGTAGCAACAAGATCATTATGAATTAATTATAACTTTTTACTTAAAAAAATATTTGTACACATGCACCACTGTCCCATTTTTGTTTGTTTTTGTAGAGTATTTTCTTTTTTTTCTACTAAAGGCATGACTGCCCTGAGTATGGATATGCTGTGTTAAGAGATGTAGACTTGATTGTGTATTGTCTAACACCCATTTTGTCAATAATTAAGAAGACATTTATTGATCTACTGAATGTAAGTTCTCCTGAGCCGAGTATAAGTGTCATTGTCTGTGAATTCCAAATAATGTAACTGGCTCCATCTTCTTCTTAGGGGCATGAAAGAGGAAACAAACATGTAAGCAGTTTGGAAGCGAAGGTGTTGTCATATGACTGTGACCAGTTTTTATTGTGAATTTCCCATCGCACTATGTGCTAAATGGTAAATTTGCTTTGGTCTCAGGGTAAGAGCTACAGCCTGGTTGGAAGTTAAGTGCTGATATGAGGTCAAGCCCTGAGAGTGAAGTCATATCCAACTGCTTTACTGATTATGGGACCTGAGATAATTTACTGAAAGAAGAATCCCAACGCTGTATAGCTCCGGATTCCTGTGAGAGTTAAGTGGGAGCATATCTGTGAAAGCCACTGGTGTGTAGAAGGTGTTTGGCCAGTGTTTGTGGGATTCCTTCAGGACGGAGAGAGGGAGGGGTGAATGAGAGGGCCTCAGAGCAGGAAGCACTCAGACAGGAGAAAGCCTGGAATCGGACCTGGCAGGCTCGGCTCTGTGTTGTTCAGCTCAGGGTGGAAAAATGCGGGTGAGAATTCATGGAAGTGGAAGAGAAAGGAAAAAGAAGGGCAGCTGAGGAGGAGTGGAATGACAGAGCAGGGGCAACAGGTGACACTAATCCCAGCAGCTTTGATGAGACACGGGGGCTGTCTTGCTGAGTCCCTCCCCATCCTTCTTCCCACGGAAACCTCTGCAATGGGGAGGTCAGCCAAGACCTCACAGAGAAGGAGAGACGTTCCAGCCAGGTAGGAGGAGCTCTGACAGGTCTGTCCCAGGCTGCCATGCTGTGACACTGGGGGCTTCCCTAGCCATGTGTATTTGTGTCACCAGTGGGGCTGCATAATAACCACAATACCTAATATCTTAGTCTGTTTTCAGCTACTGTCGTAGAATACCATGGAGTGGGTAATTTTGAAGAAAAAGAAATTTTAGTCCTGGTGCTGAGAAGCCCAGTATCTGGGGCCTTACTTCAGTGAGGGCTTTCTGGCTGCCTCACATCATGGCGGAGAGCATCATGTGGTAGGGCTGCTCCAGGGAGGAGGGGTGAGGGACAGAAAGCCATGGAGCCTACCATCATAGTGACGTATTCCTGTGCTATTGGCCTTAATTGATCACAAAAGAAGAGCGCTCAGATTTAAACATCTTTTAAATACCCTACCCACCATACTTTTACTCTGACAGTTACATTTCACCATGAATTTTTCAGGGAACATAGGACCTAACACACATTGAACTTCTACTCTGCTCTACCTGAAGCTTCTTAGCCAATTCTCAGAAAAGGTTTTTTGAGGCCATTTCTGGAGCCCAGTAGTTCTTCCTAGTGCTGGCATTAGTAAGTGGCAGAGCCTGGATTTGAAGCCGAGTGCTTTTCTCTAGTGTCCCCTTTCAGCACCACGTTTCTGTGCCATAAACGGGTAAAGATGTCTGAGCTTGGAGACACCACGGGAAGTGGTTTTTGTCAGCAATTCATTGTATTTGTCTTCTAGAGGTAGAGGTGGAGAGGAAGCTTTTGTTCTCATGAAGTTTAGTGAGTACCAGAGTTGGGTATGAGGTTGCTCCAGAGGCCAGGGACACAGCCTGTACTTGAGGAGCAAGCAGGGCATAAATCTGCTGGGCAGCTTGGCACGCTGCATGGCGAGGTGACTCAGAAGAGGCTGGCATTTCAGACACAAAGGGAAGGAGGGGAGGCCATTGCAGATGTCATGGTGTCCAACTCTGTCAAGCACTCCTGAGAGGCCAAACTGAGAATTGAAGAGGCCCACAGATTAGACAGCAGGAAGGCAAGTTACATCCTTACCATGTGAGACCACTCACTTTATTGTTTCTGTCAGAGGAGTTTCTGATGAGGTCTATAATCCTGTCCCCAGTTTTGGGAAGCAAACTCTCTTTTTCAGCCACTCTGTGCACTTCCTATTCTGTGTAGCTCATGAAAAGTCCCTCCTTACAGAGCTTAATCATCTGACTGGTAAGTCAGGACACAGGTGCATTTCTGCCGTGGCTAACTAGTTCACCACTCTCCAGTGTCAGTTCTTCCAGTCTTTTTTCTGGACCTGGATATTGGGATCAATCAATAAATTGGCAACCATAATGATTATTTTTGCCCTTAGACGTATTTCAGGTGCACCTGAGAGCCGGTGCATTTTTCTGAGATATTTTTTTTCCTGTTATGAAATATTCTAGTCATGCATTGCAATGGCTGGAAGAGGGAATTAATAGTAGTCTAATCACCGTGGAGACACTGCGGCTTCTGTGAGCTGGCTCGGAGCTAAGGCTGCACATCTCTGTGGGAATGATGAGTGAATGAGTCTGCTGCTCACTTAACCTGCTGTTCTTTTCTTTCTCTGTTTTCTCTCCTAGGAAACAAATGGAAGACTGCTGTGACCCCGCCCATCTCTTTGCTATGACTAAAATGAATTCCCCCATGGGGAAGAGCATGTGGTACGATGGGGAGTTCTTATACTCCTTCACCATTGACAACTCAACGTATTCTCTCTTCCCTCAGGTTGGTATAGTTGTTGCATTTCAGCGAAGTTTCCTGTATTTCTTGACATCACGGGAAAGGGATACTTGACTTTGCCTAACCCTTTGGACCTTCTTTCCATCTTAATTTTAAGTGCTTTTCCTTACATCTGGCATTTCTGTTATAGATATCTCATAGTGTTTGGGTATAAGGATAGAAGTAAGGTGTTATAGAAAAATAGGAAATTACAGAGTTACAATTCTCCTGACCCTTTAGATTCATGTCACATGAAACTGAAGGAAGCAAGCAGAGAATGGTCAGGAAACTGTGAAATTGTAATGCTTTGAGGACGGCTGTGACATGAACACGATGATTTGTGGTACTGGGAAGGCTTCTTAGGACTCATCTTGCTTTCTGGGAGTGGGGACCATATGGTGAGAATTTGTCTCTTAGGACTCTTGCATTTTAACCTCATGGTTATAGGAGAAAGAATTCAATTTGACGACTCTTAAAGTGCTCAGTCAAGCTTTATTTACTTAATGTTTTTCTTCTTGTTTTCCCAAGCATTGAAATAAAGTCTTTTACCAGGATGTATTCTAGGCAACAAGCAGATCAAAAAAATAAAATAAATCTTTATTCTAGGGCACCTTGTTGGGGAATGAGGACCTTCAGTGAAATTGCCACTGGGGAGAAATTGAGATGAGAATCTTGGCCTTCACAGGTCTTTAGCCACTCTTGGTTTGGCTAGGTGACTATGCAGAAAATATTCATGGTCAGAGTTAGAAAGGGCGATTGACCTTTTGTCTATTAATAAGTAGCCAGAGTTCTCATTGGATCCTATACATTTGAGGCACAGGTCCCTACCAGATCCAAAGTCACAGTCTGTATAAAATAGCTTGCATTTACTAGCTCATCTTTAAGCATGTTAGCCCGATTGAATGGTTTCAGAGTGTAGTGATGATTTTTCAAAAAAAAAAAAATCAAAGAAATAGAGAGTTGGTTTTTTTGTTTGTTTGTTTGTTTGTTTGTTTGTTTTTGGTACCAGGGATTGAACTCAGGTCTTGGCGCTTGCAAGGCAGGCCACCAAACCGAGCTAAATCCCCAGCCCTAAGGAAATAGAGAGTTTAAATGTCAGCATTCATGTGCTTTCTTTCTCTACATTGTTCATTTGACCTTAGGAGTCTTCCTCATGCCAAAGCAAATGACTAAGAGTCATAAAATCTGAAACTGAAGTTTGTCTTTGTTTCTTACTAATGTTTTGGATAAGTCACCTGACTCTTCTGAGACTCAGCCCTCTCATTTGTTTTATGGAGGAGCGCCTGTCCCATTTATTCAGAGTGATGGCAAAGACCAATTTAGATGATGTGTGTCACTGTACTTGGTATGCTACAAAGCATTATATAAATGTTGCTATTAATGTTTTCCTGGTTTATATGGTACATCCTGAACCCGAGGAGAAGTGTGATTGTGTTAGTCAGAATTTGGGCAAGCTACGAAAATCTCCCCAGATACATCTGACAGAAAGATATTTCATATAAGGAATTGGGTACTTGAAAAAGCCACTGGAAGAGTGGAGAAGGTGGAGTGAAGAGGTGGATCCTAGGATTACTGAGTGCAGGAACTTGCTGGCTTCACTGTGGTCTGATGGTTAGGAAGTTCTCTTGTCCTTGCTTTTGGCATGGTACAGTAGTTTCCAGCAGAAATGTGCCAGAAGATGGGTCCTGATTTTCCTCCTCCTTCCAAGTCTCCCTCGGATGTGTCTAATGAGTAAGGATGAACTTGTAGCCAATGCACTAGTTGTAGCCAAGTCCAGGAGAGGCAGTTCTTAACTTTCAAGCTTCAGCAGGAAGCTAGGAAAAGCTGGGGGAATGGAATAGGAGCAAGCCAGTCCACAGGATCCTCTGTGTACAAAAATTGATACTAAAGGGGTGAAGGGAGAGCAAGAACAAGGGGAAAAATGAGAACTAAGACCTGTCATGTAAAGGTAGAAGATCCCAATAATGCATGTAACTGTACTGTATACCTAGAATGTACCGATAAACTCAATGAGGAAAAAAAATGATACTAACTAGCTGTGAGATAAGGAAACAGTCTTTTTTAACAGCAAGAAACTGTTAAGGGGGAAATTCAAAGGAGGCTTTTTATAGATGAGGGCTTTCAGTCATACCAAGTGACTTCTGACTTTACACTGAAAAATAGATTTGAAGAAAAGAGACGATTAAAGAATATAAACTAGCTTCCTGTCTTATCTGTCGGTTGCAGCAGCAGGATGATAGGAAACATTTCCTTTACAAAATATGTACAGATGGATTCTGTGCCTCTTTGTGTCTATTGCAAGATCAAGGGCCCATTCCTGAATAATAAAGGAAAAAAATTTCGCTTAAGACTGGCAGCTATCACAGCATTGAACATGGAGAGTCATTACAAAAGGCTAAAACAGTTCAATGAATGTATGTATTTAAGGTTACATAGGTATTTTGTGGGGGAGAGATTCTGAAATAAGTAATTTCTAAAAATCCTGAGAAATCAATTCGCATCATAAAAAGGATAAAGTGTTTCCGTCTGCCCTTACTCATTATCATTCATTGGCAAAATGTTCCTAGTTTGTTTTAAGTAAACTAAGTTGCTAGTTAATTAATATGCTTCATTCATGCTCCCTGTGGAAGGAAAGAGCTTGTGCAGAGTAAAGGGGAAATGCAGCTGAATGGTCCTACTTCAGTGTTGCCCGTGGGAAGAAAGCGTCTCTTTATTCCCTGAGTTTCAGCAAAATACTCACTCATTGTCTGACTCAGATTGTGTGTCTGTATGTTGATGCTTTTCTCTTAAGAGCTTAAAACATGTTAGCCATCGTTGTTATGGCTGTTATCCCTTTGCCCACTTTTACTCTGCATCTTTTGTTGTTGTTATTGCTGAGATGCGATAGAAGAAAAGTGCTGTGCCTGCCGTCTGTCCTCAGGAGGGGACTGCAGAGTCACCCTGGTCTTTGAAATGCGACATTGGAGCTCCATTGCTGCAGTTAATGAGTTTCTTCTTATCTGGATCCCCTGCAACTTCCTGTAGCCCCCTGGTCAAAATTTATTCTACTCTGCCCCACACTGTACCTGCCTCAGTACACCTTATCACATAAGTTTTCTCAACATCTCCACTGCTGATCCCATTACCATCTTGTGAGCCTTTGAGGAGTAAGAAGTTTTTCATTTTTGTGCCGATGCAGTTGGTTCCCATTTAATAGAGGTGTTTGTTTCTGTCTACTTATGTCTGTCAGGGGTTCCTTATATAAATGCTTCGGTGAAATATTTGTTGGGTATTATAAAGCCCAAAGTGGCTCTCACATAGAATTTTTAAAGTATGGGGAGGTGGGTTGCAGAGGGCATGGTGTGTTTTTACTTTGAGAATACCAGCCCCATCTTTGGGATTAGGATTTACTTTTTCCTGCTTAGCCAAGGACTGTCCCTTTAAAGCTTGCATGGTGCAGGGTTTCCAGGGATTCCTGAGTAAAAGTCTATTTTGGCTTAAAATACATTGCTCAGGAAGAGCATAGCTTTCCTTGGAAATGAGAAGGGGAGTAGCTGAAATGTTAGAAACCGCATCTGTGCTATAGAATCTGAAAAATACTCTTTCTGTGCAATGGAAACACAGGGGACTCACCATTCTCTATCACTGTGCTGAGCAGTCACAAAGCCGTCTTGTGTCCTGAGCATGCACACGATGTCATGTGCAGAATCACAGAACGTCACTCATGTGCCTGACCTGCACACTCATTTGCAGCTGCTTAGTGTGGCCATAGAGTCCTATAGTGTCGCCATAGAACCAGAGAGTTTTCCACTGGGCCTGGGGCCTGCAGTGTCCTTGGCCTATGGGAAGCCCAGCAGGACATTTGGAAATAGTTTGTCAAAATGGCCTTGTTAAATGAAAAAATACACATTTTTCCCTCTTCACAGGGGTGTGCTTACTAGAATTTTCTGAGCTCTTGGGTAGTCCCAAGTCTCACAAAAAATATTTTCCTGGTGGAATTTGGATCATATCCCATAACAATGATATTACTGTTATCATTTTCCCAAGCACATACCTTTCCAAGTGGAAGGAAACTAAGGTACTGATGTGTGGTAGGGATGGGGCTCTGCCAGCTCTGCTGGGCTTATGCCAGGTGATATTGTTAGGCTTGCTTCTGGCTGCTTTTTAATAGCAATGTGACCACCTATTGAGACTAAAAGATGCTTGTTTATCTCAAGCAATAAGGAATTACAGAGGGGATCATTCAGAGCTGGGATACCAGTTATGTGGTGCCTTCAAACACCCAGATCCCTGTCCTCCTGCTCATTCATCCTTAGTTGATGCCCAAGGATATGGCCAGTTTGGGTCCAGGATTCCAGCAGGAAGAAGGAAGATACAGAACAGGAAATCCTGATAGATGTTTGCTTCTGTGTCTTTGGTCATGACTGAGCCCTCTGGGCATGTCTTGCTATAAGAGGGATGGCAAGCTCAGCATTTCAACTCTAGGAAAATGCATCACATTTGCTGTCCTATACCACCTGCCTCAGTTTCTTTCCTATATTATCTCACTCTGTTCTTACAGCAACTCTGTTTGGTTGTTAGAGGGCTTACAAACTTTATTCAAGGTGGTGGAGGTGGTAGGTAGAAAGGCTGAGATAACAAAATCTGGCCTGATTTCAAAGGTTTTATTGTTTATCATCTTGTTTATTTCTTTAAAAGGCCTGGGTTCTGTTGGGTTAATTGTTCATCACTTGGTCACCTTGAAATCATTTCAGTTTCCTTATAAGAATAGATTTAGAAGAAATGGAAAAAATTGCTTTTACAGCTATTCAGGAGAAAAAAAATAGAGTATATATATATATATAGATATACAGGCTATAGGGTCCTGCACTCTTTGGCTTTTTGCTCCCTAGTAGCCCATCTTGAAAAGGGAAATAACAGTGTGATTGTCTTGATTTGATTTTTATAAGAAGGAATCCAGGTTCTGAGATGGAGGTAGAATTATCCTTTGTTCTTTGCTTCTTTGTTACAGAAATCCTGAACACTGT